GATGGCGCACTAAGCCCTAGCCTACTCAGGCTAGTTGATATGCCTCAAGTCTCTGTGCAACGCAGATGTATTTTTCTTGACGCTTAAGACTCCAATGCGAGCGGAGGGTTTGATAACTTCCTGGTTTATGTTTGTATTAAATTCCACGAGGTCATTCAATCCAGGATTGTGCAACCCACTGAGCCAAGCAAAGTTCAGCTCAGTTGGGTCCCCCTGCCTCCAACAGGGGTTGTGGAAAGCGGGACTAATTCGCGTTTCCTCTGCTTGAACGTGGGATCTTTCAACCCAACGCAAAAGCAGTAATTGGCGTCTTGGTACTGGGTGAGCTTGGAAGCAAGCGTTCCGCAGCCACTTTCGACAAGCTTGAGCTACCAGCTCGTTCTCTATAATGAAGACACCTCAGTTGTATGATCATCATGGGGTCCAATCACTAATGAACAACAACTAATGCGATTGCAAATAAGCTTATTAAAAAATATCGATGGTATGATAGCAGTATCCTACCAAATACAAAGGTGAGTGGACGTGATCTGACTTGCTCTACTACAATCATCCAAGAGAACAGCACCTGAATACCGTTAGAACTCAACAGAGCGCGCACAAACTCCTAGCCTACTCATACTAGTAGATATGCCTCACGGCATCTCGGCTCTGTGTAAGAGGGTGCTACACGCATGTGTTGTTTTCTTAGTGCTTACGACTCCAAAGCGAGCAGGAGTTTGCTAACTTCCTAGTTTTTGTTTGTATTAAATTCCACGAGGTTATATAATCCAGGTTTCTTCGAGACGGTCACTGATCACTCCCAAGCCCGTCGCAAGTGCGGGTTTGGAGATTGTGCAACCGCTGGGCAAGACAGAGTCCAACACAGTGAGGTCCCCCTGCCTCCTACAGGGGTTGAGGAAAGCGGGACTAATTCGCGTTTCCTCTCCTCCAGCGTGGGAATTTTGAATCCAACGAGGAAGTAAAAGTTTACGGCTTAGTACTGGGCAGACTTGGAAGCAAGCATCCCGTAGCCACTTCCGACAGGCTTGGGCTATCAGCTCCTTCTCTATAATGAAGACACCTCAGTTATATAATCATCGTGGGGTCCAATCACTAATGGACAATAACTAATACGATTGCAATAAGCGTATTGAAAAATGTCATTGGTGTGATAGCAATATTCTACCAAATACAAAGCTGAGTGGACGTAATCTGCCTTGCTCTGCTACTCTCATCCAAGAGAACAGCACCTTAATACGATCAGAGCTCAACAGACGGCGCACTGTGTAGAAGGGTGCTGCAGGCATACGTGTTTTTATTAACACTACCTACTCAGCTAGCTGCAGTTTGCCTACGTCCCAGTCTATGTTTGTATTAAATTCCAAGGGATCATACAATCCAGGTTTCTTCGAGACGGTCACTGATAAGTCCCAAACTCGTCGCCAGTACGGGTTTGGAGATTGTGCAACCCACTGGGCCAGACAACGTCCAGCTCAGTCGAGTTCCCCTGCCTCCTACAGGGGTTGAGGAACGCGGGACTAATTCGCGTCTCCTCTGCTTCAACGTGAGATCTGTGATATGGTACTGGATAGGCTTGGAAGCAAGCATCCCGCACCGCCTGCCGACAAGCTTCGGCTACCAGCTCCTTCTCTATAATGAAGATACCTCAGTTGTATGATCATCGTGGGATCCAATCACTAATGGACCACAAGTAATTCGATTGCAAATGAACCTATTGAAAAATATCATTGGTGTGATAGTAGTATTATTCAAAATACAAAGATGAGTGGACGTAATCTGCCTTGCTACATTCATCTAAGAGAACAGCACATTAATACCGCGAGAAGTTAACAGATGGCGCACTAGACCCTAGCTTAAGTGCATGTCGTTACGCTAGCCCTCAGAGGAGGACTGGTGCATGGGAGGAGAGATTATCACTTTTGATTGGCTAGCATAGGCGATCGATTCGTTTGATCCATACAAAAATACGAGTTCAGACGATTTATTTGCGTCCATATTACAGCATTGTAGCTGTAAAGTTGTATTTATTCCTAAACTGGACCTAGCTATACTGGCCCGAAAACCTTACGTCCGATTACCCTTTCAACTCATGTGTTCATGACACTGGAACGGATAGTTGACAGATTTTTAAGGGATGGCCTGCTGGAGTGGAGTGCCGTTAATTCCAATAAGTTAGCATCGACTGATCAGGCCTTACTCAATCTGGTCGGTAAGCTGGAGAAGACTTTAGATCAGCGAGAAGTGGCACTCGTCGGATCAGTCCTAGTTAATTGGGCTCTATGGATAGAGGATGGAATCCTGGAACGTCGTGTAACAACAGCCAAGCTGAACGACGTCTGCTGCAGCGTCAGTATAGCTCGGGGCTATCCGCAAGGCGGAATACTGTCACCCCTATTGTGATGTCTCGTGGTGAATTATCTCCCCGCTAGGCTTGACAATTAAGGTAGTTATGTGCAAGCCCATGCTGACGACTTAAGCATAGTACTTAGAGGTCGTTTTTGTAGAACGGTCTCTGCGATTATGCAGGGCACTCTGCGCTCTGTGGGATCGTGCTGCAGAGAAGTCGTTCTTTCTGTCAAAGCTGGAAGGACCAAGCAGATTTTGTTCACTAGGCGAAGAAAGCTTGACGACTTGTCATGCTGACCTTCTTTGGGAGTATCCCCATAGAAAGAGCATTTTGAGTAGTGTGAACAAGCTCACGATTCATCGTGGGGTTGCAGACGGGTTGTTACGTGGAGGCTTTATATCAAAGTGGAGCACTTCCTCTATACAACGATAGTACGCGTCCATCTCTTTGTATGGTTTGGTAGCCTTGCATTGGAACCGAGACGACTAAGGGCAAACTCAACAAAATTCAGCGTTTGGCTTGTACCACTACTATAAGTCCTGTGCAAACGACACCATTGAATGCAATGCAAACTCTACTGGGTCTCCAACTGTTGGAGCTAGCGATCTGCAGAGAGGCGAGAGTTGTCGCACATCAACTGTGGAGACTGGGCAGCTGGGCCCTTGCGAATCCTGTCAAGGGTCACACGGCCATCTTAGTCGAATTGCAAAGGATGGATCCAGTCCTTCTGAGCATGGGTGATCTGATCCCAAGTTTAATGTGGAGTATCCGACGAGGGCGGAGTGTGATTCCGGAAGCCTGAAGGTCTCCGAAGGAAGTGGGCAGGTCTAGTACACGGACGGCTCGGTTACTGAAGAGGGCTCTGGCAATGGGGTCTTTGCGCCTAGAACTAGACTCACTGCCTCTCAGCGGATACACCACTATACAGGTAAAAATTTATCCGATTCTGACTTGCATATCCCGCATTTTGGAGGGGAAATGACCTAGGAGAAGAATAACAATATTCTCCCTTAACCAGGTGGCGATGAAGGCACTAAGAGCCTGCAAGATTACTTCGAGCCTTGTACTGCAATGCAGGGAGTCTCTGGATAGCGAGACGAGGCATCCGGTATCATTAGCGAGGGTACCGGGGCACGCTGGGATAAAGGGTAATGATATGGCGGAGGCCCTCACGAAAGCAGAATCAGCGGGCAAGCTTGTTGGTCCTGAGACAGCACTAGGGGTGCCCGCGCACAGAGTGAGAAGGATAATGGAGAAATGGATTGTTAGAGAACAGTCTCTGAAATAGAGGAGTATCTCTGGATATATCCGTCTGCCACGGGAGCTCATCATAGGGCTCGGTATTAAGGATGTACACTCTGGCGAAGACAGGATCAGCCAGCAAGCTCGTTGGTCCTGAGCCAGCTCTAGGAGTGACCGCGCATAGAGCTAGGAGGAAAATGGAGATGTAGGTTGCAAGACATCACTCTCAGAAATGGAGAAGTATCTCCAGACATCTCCGCCAGGCACGGGAACTCATGGACGTTTCTGCCTATCTCTGGATAGAGCCAACCTAAGGTTGCTGGTGGGACTTTTGTCTGGCCATAACCCGTTAAGGCGCCACCTGCACGTGATGGGATGGCTGAGGATCCCTTGTGTGAACGCTGCGGGGTAGAGGAAGGGACCTCGGCACACGTGTTGTGTCGCTGTGAAGCTCTGATTTACTATAGGCAGACTATACTGGAGTCCATTACTTTGGACCCTCAGGACGTCAAGGAACTTGGACTCAAGGCGATTCTCAACTCCGCTAAAAGGGCGAGGCTTGTGATCTAAGGAATGTAGAGGTGCATAAGGGCCCGCTTAAGCGGCCTATGCACTGGCTCCTTATGGTGGCCGGAATGCCCCTAACTTCAAGATTCATTCATTCATTCAAGGATGTACACTTTTACTTATCTATGGATAGAACGTGCATGTAATGGTGCTGGCTGAGGACCCCATATGTAAGCGCTGTGGGTAAAGGCAGAGTCCTCGCCGCATGTTCTGTGTCGCTGTGAGGCTCTGAGCTACGACAAGCAGACTATTCTGGGGTCCAACACTTCGGAAGTTAAGGCGCTGGGACTCACGACTGTATTCAATTTTACTAGCAGAGCGGAGATTGAGGGAATGTTGTGGTGCATAAAGGCCCGTTATACGGCACTTCATGGTAGGCGGTATGACTCTAATTGCTTTATTCCTTTATTCATTCAAACCTCAGCCCACTCATGCTACTGGGTATGCCTCTCAGCTCTGTGTAAAGGGATTGCTATACGGAGACGTATATTTTCTAAGCGAGCTGGAGTTTGCTAACTTCCTAATTTATGTTTGTATTAAATTCCACGAGGTCATACAATCCAGGTTTCTTCGAGACGGTGACTGATAACTCCCAAACTCGTCGCAAGGGCGGGTTTGGAGATTGTGCAACCGCTGGGCAAGACAAAGTCCAGCTCAGTCGGGTCCCCCTGCCTCCTACAGGGGTTGAGGAAAGCGGGACTAATTCGCGTTTCCTCTGCTTCAACGTGGGATCTTTCAAACCAACGAGAAAGCAGTGGATAGACTGGCGACTGGGCAAGCTTGGAAGCAAGCATCCCGCAACCCCTTACGACGAGCTTGGGCTACCAGCTCCTTCTCTATAATGAAGACACCTCATTTGTATGATCATCGTGGGGTCCAATCACTAATGGACCACAAGTAATTCGATTGCAAATAAGCCTATTGAAAAATTTCGTTGGTGTGATAGCAGTATTTTACCAAATACAAACTTTGGTGGACGTAATCTGCCTTATTCTGTTACAATCATCCAAGAGAATAGCGCCGTTACAACTCAACAGAGGGCGCACTAAACCTTAGCCTACTCATGCTAGTAGATATAAATCTCGGCTTTGTTTAAAAGGGTACTACACGGATATGTGTTTTCCATAATGCTTACGACTCCAAAACGAGCTGGAGTTTGCTAACTTCCTAGTTTACGTTTGTATTAAGTTCCAAGAGGTCATACAATCCAGGTTTCTTCGAGACGGTCACTGATAACTCCCAAACTCATCGCAAGTGCGGGTTTGGAGATTGTGCAACCGCTGGGCCAGACAACGTCCAGCTCAGTCGAGTTCCCCTGCCTCCTACAGGGGTTGAGGAAAGCGGGACTAAATCGCGTTTCCTCTGCTTCAACGTGGGATCTCCCAAACCGACGAGGAAGCAGTAAGTCGTTTCTTGGACACTAGGCAGGCAAGCAAACATCCCGCAGCGCCTTCCGACAAGCTTGGGCTACCAGTTCATTCTCTATAATGAAGACACCTCAGTTGTATGATCATCATGGGATCCAATCACTAATGGACCACAAGTTATTCGATTGCAAATAAACCTATTGAAAAATGTTATTGGTATGATAGCAGTATTATACCAAATACAAAGGTGGAAGGACGTAATCTGCGACAATCATCCAAGAGAACAGCACATTAATACCGAGAAAATTTAACAGAGGGCGTGCTAGACCCTAGCTTAAGTGCATGTCGTTACGCTAGCCCTCAGAGGAGGACTGGTGCATGGGAGGAGAGATTGTCACTTTTGATTGGCTGGCATGCGCGATCGATTCGTTTCATCCACTCAATTTGGACGATTTATTTCCGGCCATGTTACAGCATGGCCGGAATTCAGTTTTACCTTGCCTTCTGAAGGTATTTCGAGCATGTGTGGCCATGGGCTTCACACCTAGAAGCTGTCGGCAGGCTAAAGTGGTATGTATTCCTAAACTAGGCAGAGTTAGCTATACTGGCCAGATTACCCTTTCAACTCTTGTGCTCATGACACTGGAAAGGATAGTTGACAGATTTTTTAGGAATGGCGCGCTGGAGAGATATTGAAGGAGCATTTAATTAGATGCTACAACCGACTCCATCAGACACGATTTGGTCAGGCAGGGGGTCGGATCAGTCCGGATTGGGCTCTATGGATAGAGTATGGAATCCTGGAACGTCGTGCAACAACAGCTAAGCTGCAGCGTTAGTTTAGCAATGCCGAATTATGTGACACCTAGCATGGATAGCGTGGTGTGACAGGTGAATGATCTCTCCGCAAGGCTCGACAATAGAGCTGTTTTGCGCTCTGTGGAATCGTAATGCAGGGAGGTCGAGCTTTCTGTCAAAGTTGGGAGATCTGAGCTGATTCTGTTCACTAGGCGAAGGAAGCTTGACGGGCTTATCATGCCGACCTTCTTTGGGACTAGACTAGTTCTATCCCAATTTGTCGCACATTAACTGTGGAGTCAGGGCAGCTGGGCCTTTATAAATCCTATCAAGGGTCACACTGCCACCGTAGTCGAATTGCAAAGGGAGTATTCCGTCTTTCTGAGCAGGGGTGATCTGACCACCCAAATGTCCGCAAGTTTAATGTGTAGTATCCGATGAGGGCGGAGTGTGATTCCGGAAGCCTGAAGGTCTTCGAAGGAACTGGACAGGTCTGGAACACGGATGGCTCGGTTACTGAGGAGGGCTCGGGCACCAGTGTCTTTGGGCTTAGGACTAGACTCACTGCCTCTCAGCGGATACACCACTGCAGGTGGAAATCTATGCGATTCTGACTTGCGTATACCGCATTTTGTAGGGGAAATGTCCTAAGGGGAAATAACAACCTCCCCCTGAGAGCCAGATGGCGATGAAGGCACTAGGTGCCTGCAAGCCTGCAAGATTACTTCGAGCCTTGTATGGCAATGCAAGGAGGCGCCTGATGACTTAGCAGCGAGGCATCCGGTATCGTAAGTGTTAGAATCAGGGCACGCTGGGATAAAGGGTAGTGCTATGGTGGATGCTCTCACGAAAGCAGAATGAGCGGACAAGCTTGCTGGTCCTGAGCCAGCCCAGGGATGGCCGCGCAAAGGGTTAGGAGGAACTCAGTCAGGCACGGGAGCTCATCGTGAAGCCCAGTGTTACGGATAAATGCTTTTGCTTATCTTTGAATCGAATTAATCTGCATGTGATGGTGGTAGCTGAGGATCCGATGTGTGAGCGCTGAGGGGTACAGGAAGAGTCTTCAACGCATGTTACGTGTCGCTGTGTGGCTCTGAGCCAAGACAGTCATACTATTCTGGTATCCTCAGAACGTTAGGGAGCAGGGATTTACGACTATACTCAACTTTGCTAAAAGGGGGAGCTGGAGGCTCAGGGAATGCGGTGGTTCATAAGGGCCCACTAGGGGGCTTCTGATGGTAGCCGGTATGACTGTAATTTCTATATTACTTTATTCGTTCAAACCCTAGGCTACAAATACGTATACAATCCAGGTTTCTTCGTCGAGACGGTCACTGATAACTCCCAAACTCGTCAAGTCAAGTCATCGTTGGTTGTCAGAGCGGTCCGTGGGACCTTAGCTCTTGGGTCTCAGAGTCAATTTGAAAGTCTGTCAAGTCTGGTATCCCAGAAACCAGACAATTTCAAGGAAAGGAGAGAAGGAAGAACGAGAGCAAATGGGAAGAAGAGAATCTTTTAGGATAGGCAGCGTTTAGGCATTGTTAAAATCACTTCTATGGTCTAAAAATATTCGGTTTTTTCTAAAGATTTTGTCAAAATGCTCCAATTTTGGTTGTTCTAAGTTCACGAATTAATTTTGATTGCAGTGCGAGCCGCGGCCTTTTGTGCTTGCGAACTTGCTCGACTGTGTAGTCCACTGACTCACGCAACAGAGGGTTGGTGTGCGATTCCGCTAGGCTATAGCGCCGCTGCGTCTGTTGCCTGATGTAGTCCTTTAGGTAAGTGACATCGAGGTCTCTGTGTAGAGTTTCGTTAGAGACATACCATGGGGCGTCAGCAATAGTGTGCTTTGCAGAACCTGCAGATTTTGCATGTGTGTTTTAGCAATAAAACACCAAGCAGCACATGCGTAAGTCATTGCTGGTCTTATGACCACCTTATAGAGTCGAATCTTGTTAATCAAACTTAATTTTGAACGTTTACATCATAATGGGTAAAGCTGTCGAAACGTAATTTAGAAAAATAGTTTTTAGCACTTCTGTATGGTTTCGCCAAGTCATCCCTTTGTCCAGAATGACACCGAGATACTTAGCGGAGGATTCCCATGGTACGCGAAGTCCATTCATTGAAACTTCAGACGTATCGCCGCGACGTCTTTTTGTACAGTAAATTGCCTGCGTTTTCGAATGGTTAATTTTAATTAGCCACCGATCCGTCCAATCTAATACTTCCTCCACCGCACTTTGCAGCCTGTCATGGTCTAGGTCACCAGACCGCGACTGAGCCACCAATGCAGTATCGTCAGCATAGAAATAGACTTCACAGTTGCTGGGGCTAGGGACGTCATGGATGTACAGGGAGAAACGGATAGGTCCAAGGAACGAACCCTGAGGGCCGCCGGCTGTAACCCAAACTCGTCGCAAGTGCGGGCTTGGAGACAGTGTAAACGCTGGGTTTGAGAAAAGCGGCAATAATTCGAGTTTCCTCTGCTTCCACGTGGGGTCTTTCAGACTAACGAGAAAGCAGTAAGTCAAGACTGGGTATCCGAAAAGCTTGTAAACAAGCATCCCGCAACCCCTTCCGATGAGCTTGGGCTTCCTCCTCCTTCTCTATAATGAAGACACCTCAGTGTGTCCAAACACTAGTGGACCAGAATCAATTCTATTGCAAGTAAGGTGAGTGGACCTAATACGAGTATGTCTTGCTCTGCTGCAACCATCCAAGAGAATAGCATCTTAATACCGTTAGAACTCGACAGTCAGCGTAATAAACCCTAGCCTACTCATACTAGTAGATATAACTCTAGACAGTGTGTAAGAGGATGCTACAGTCATATTTTTCTTAATGCTTACGACTCCAAAGCTAGCTGGAGTTTGCTAATTTCCTATTTTATATTTGTATTAAATTCCACGTGGTCATACAATTCAGGTTTCTTCGAGACGGTCACTAATAAATCCCAAACTCGTCGCAAGGGCGGGTTTGGAGATTGTGCAACCGCTGAGCCAGACAACGTCCAGCTCAGTTTGGCCCCCCTGCCTCCTACAGGGGTTGAGGAAAGCGGGACTAATTCGCGTTTCCTCTGCTTTTTCGTGCGGTTTTTCAAACCTTCGAGAAAGCATGACAATATGGCATTGTACTCGATAAGCTTGAAAGTGGGTTGCCGCAGTCACTTTCGACAAGCTTGGGCTATCAGATCATTCTCTATTGTGAAGACACCTCTGTTGTATGATCATCGTGGGGTCCAATCACTAATGGACCACACGTAATTAAATTACAAATAAGCCTATTGCAAAATGTCATTGGTGTGGTAGCAGTATTATACGAAATACAGAGGTGGCTGGACGTAATCTGCCTTGCTCTGCTACATCCAATAGAAGGGCACCTTAATACCGTTAGAACTTAACAGAGGGCGCACTAAGTCGTAGTCTACTCGTGCTAGTACATTTTAGGGTTCCACTTTACGTGGACCAATCAATCCTCCATTACCAAGAGACGCTTTTTACTTATTGAATCTAACATCTGCGTTTTGGTATCAGTGCTTATTTGGTATATCTATTATAGACGCACAGGAATTCGGATTCCTCCGGCACGGGTATTACTTATCTTGAAAGGTGACATTATGTCGATTTTTTTTTAATTTATATTGTTTTTTTTTGAGACATTATGTAAGTTTTTCTACAAGATGTTAACTTAGCACTAACGGATGGAAACGTTGTGAACTCGTTTTGTACTCGTAGTTGTACGTGTTGATGCTTCAGTTATCAATGTTTGACTCCGATGTGATGTGAAACCTGATTCAGAGATGGCATTACTGCAGGTCTGAGCTGTATGTTGTATACTGTAGCTACAAGGAAACGGCAAAGCATAGGTGCATAGTGAGAATTTGTGTGCTAATAATCATTGATCAACAGCCAAAAAATATCCTAAATAAAATCAACAAAATATTACTATTTTTAATGTGCTAAAACCGGTATGAAACTTATTTTTTCAATATTAGTTCAAGTTTCAGAGATACGGTAATTATATGTGTTCCTGCTGTGACAGTGTTAATATACTGTAATTCACAAGAATGCACGGGCTACATTTTTATATTCGGCAAGGAAAGATGATGTAATCGGCATGATTGTGTTACGTTATACATACGTGTACATTATATTGTTTTATATTAGCCATTTTTTCCTCAGTTGGCTGACAGCGTTCATGCAAGATGTCTCGAAAGTGTGTAAACAATCCAGC